GCTGAGTTCTTACAATTCAAGTTTTACTGACCCTGAGGTGAATCAGTGAATCAGACTTTTGTACAGAAATACATTGTTTGAATTTTCACCATTATGATTTCATTTTATCTTTTCCATAGCCCCAAGATTTAAACAAAATGGTTATTATCCCATTTTATGGATGCTAGTACTGAATATAGAGAATTTTGACTAAACCAATTTGTTACAGTTAGTAAGGGTACAATTAAGACTATAATTTTACTGCCAGTGTACCATATACAGCTGTATGATGTTTATGTGCATATGAACTTATTACTAGCTATAGCTGAGGTTTGTCAAGAATGTTATATATATTTAAAAATTTTTATTGATGTATAAAATTCATAGGAAAGAGTACATAAATCTTAAGTGTGCAGATTGGAAAGTTTTCATCAAGTGAACATATGGTGAAACTATTTCGAATATGAATTCATACTAAAATATAATGAAGACTGGGGTTGTGGCTCAGTGGTAGAGTGCTCGCCTAGCATGCACGAGGCACTGGGTTCAAGCCTCAGCACCACATAAATGTAAAATAAAAATATTGTGTCCACCTAAAACTTAAGAATAAATATTTTAAAAAGTAAAATATAATATAATGAACTTAATATTGAATATCCAGAGCTTCCTGATTCCAGAGAAATTATTTTTTTTTATTCTTCTGTTAAATTTCTGTGAATACTAGTTTGAATTAGTGGTTTTCTAATTTTGTTTGAGAAGTATTCACTGAGAGTCTCTTCTCTGTTAGGCATGTGCGTGGGTGTGGGGATACGGCTGAGAATAAGAATCATCACTTTTAGTGACTTTTACTTGGTCCTGGACCAGTAAGAATTAGAGAAATTCCTATGGGAGCCCGAGTGTCCAGCCTGAGGAGCTTTGGAAAATTTCCCAGAAGAAGTGACATCTAGACTGAGTCCTATATGTGTGTGGGAATTATCTAAAGAAGCCCTTCAAGGAAGGAAGAGTAGAAGGCAGGAGGCCAAGAGGAAAGAGCAGGATGTTGTGATGTAGCAGGCAGGTCCGCATGGCTGCCTTGGAGCCTGGGAATCAGGGAGGGGAATTGGAGAGTTCTGGGGCAGGGTCACCCAGGCCAGTTTTTACTGTTAATTAAGTTTCCCTGTTACAAACAACAGGAATCTACTCTGGAAAACATAAACTAAAGAGGAATTTATTGGGAAAAATAGTGGGGTGGTTCCCAGAATTAAAGAAAGGGCTGAGTGTGCAGATGTCTGAGAGGGCAAACAAGTAGGGCAACTCCTGGCAGCTCAGTAGAACTTGTGGAATTTCTATGCAGGGCAGTGTCATTAGTTTACTTGCTCCAACCATGGATTGTTGGTCTTAGAATATTCATGTTTGAGAAATAGGATCTGATTGGCTTAGTTCAGGTGTATTCCCAAACCAGGACCAATTGTGTGGCCAGAAACAAGCACCATGTCTAGTCAGTCTGGGTAATGATCAGGATAGCAAGATTCATTACCTGAACCAGAGTGCTCAGAAATGAGGACACCACTGTCCAGAAAGCAGCATGTTGTGGCTTGGAGAAGGAATGAACTGAATGTAGTGATCAAGAAGGACTGAATATGCAGAGACCAGTAGAAGGCTGTTCATTACTCAAGTGAGAGGTGATGGTGCCAGAAGTAGGTATTGTCTCTCAGGAGATGAAGAAGAGAATAGATTCTGAGATACTTAAGAGGCAGAGAATAAAGGACTTTGCAGTTGGAAGTTAGGAGATTTGTTGGAAAGATTAAGGAGTTATAGATGATTCCTAAATTTCTGGCTTGGGCAAGGCCCTTGGATTCCTTACAGGGAGAAGGGCTAGTTTTCAGAAGAGGGATAGAGCTTTCATTCAGGTTTAAAAGTATTAGTTGGAGAGCTGGGGCTGTGGTTCAGTGGTAGATGCTTGCCTTGCATGCATGGAACACTGGATTCCATCCTAAGAATCACATAAATACATAATATAAAGGTACTGTGTCCATCTACAACTAAATTTTTTTTGAAGTGTTAGTTGGAGTACTAAGCAGACCACATTTAACATAAAACACCTAGGTATAAACAGCTGTTCACCAGTGAATTGCTTCCATGGTTCATATTCTGCCACCGGAGACCTCTTAGTCCAACATAGTGGTCTCTGCCATTGTTGTCCCTTTCCTTTCCTGTCCCTGGGCTGCCAGGGCCTTTTCACAATTTTGCTCTGGGAATTCACAAACTGCTTCTTCTTCTTCTGCTCCCATACTTTGGGCAGGTTCAGATCCAAGTGGGTATTGGGGATTGTAGTTTTTTTTTTTTTAACCAGAACTGTGAATGTTAAGAACCAAGTGCTTTAGCTTTCTCTTGGGTTGTATTATGGTTAAAAGAAGCTTGCTATTTTATGATACTGTTTTTGTAAAATAATTTAGTTTGAGTTTGAACATATTTGCATATGGGAGTCTTTCTTTATTAAGGAGATAAATTTATAGTAGAAATGTTTTTAGTTATAGTATTTTAATTTTAATAGTACTTAGTGTTGTTATCTTGTCAAATGATCCAGTTTAAATCCTGGCAGGTGGTCCTTTCAGATACTGTAGTCAGTGCTTTTGCCATTAGGTTGCATATGGCTTTAGAAATCCTTTGGGTCAGTAGTCTTTGGTGGAACCAGAACTATACCCTAAGGAGCATGTGGGGCATTTTTGGTTATCTCAATAGTTTGGGACAAAATGCACCATAGGCATTAAGTAGGGGCCTATAGTACCAGAGGTGCTGGATGTCATAGAATATGCATTTAAAAACAGTAGCAACAACAGAAAAACACCTTCATATAATTATCTGAGCATAGTTCCTCTGTTTCAGATTTAATCATGAAGTACTTTTGCTCCGTTTCACTAAACTTTTCCAGGAATGCCAGGAAATTGTAAATCTACTAAAGAATGAAGTTTGCTTGGGACTTTATGCTTTTATTCTCATAGGTGGCATTAATTTGTCTTATCCTTATTTTTTTAATTTTTATTTTTTTGGTGCTGGGGATTGTTAAGCTTTCTGTATACTAAGCCCCACCACTGAGCTATCCCCTCCTCTCTGAGCCCCTGTTTTATTCTTAATTTTTATCTTATTTAGAAGATAAAATCCTTTAAGACAATGGTTAGGATATTTGGAAAGTGTTTTGTTATAGGGTGTGATGGCACACACCTTGTTTTAGTCAGCTTTTTCACTGCTGTAACTAAAAGATCCAACAAGAACAATTTTAGAGGAGGAAAAGTACATTTGGGGTTTGAGATGGGGCAGAACTTCATGGCAGAAGAATGTGATAGAGGCAAGCAGCTCAAGACATCACACCAGGAAGCAGAGAGAGAGATTCCACCCACCTTATACAAAATATGTATCCAAAACATATGCCCCCATGACCACTGCCTCTACCCACACCCTACCTGACTATAGTTACCACTCAGTTAATCCTTATCAGGGAATTGATTCACTCATTGGGTTAAGATTGTTTTAACTCAATCATTTCATCCCTTGATTTTCTTACATTGTTTCACTAGATGAACTTTTGGGAAACACCTCACATCCAAACCATAACACACCTGTAATTTCAGTTACCCAGAGGCAAAAGCAGGAGGATTGTTAAGTTTGAGGCCAGGCTGGGCAACTTACTAAGAACTTGTCTCAAAATAAAATAAAATAAATAAGATAAAGGACTGGGGATGTAGCTCAGGGGTAGAATGCTCCTGGGTTCAATTCCTAATACAACTCCCCAACAAACCCAGCCTACCCCACAAAAATAAAAGCTTTTTTGTTTTGTAGTGATAGATGGAGAGGTAGTTGGTAAACTAATGGTTTCTCCAATGAAATAGGGTAAAAGAACATTTGTAGAGATGAATATAATGAACTGCTATAATAATTGTGTTTTATAAAAGGATCTGAGAAGAATATGAGGATGGAGAATTTGAGTATTACTTGGTAGATTGGGTAGATCAAGTAGGGTAAAATTAACCCCAATTATTAAATGTCCAGAGAGGGAAAAATATGTAAGTATATTGGATGTTGCACTAATTAAAATGTAAATCTATGTCTAGAGAGTATTCTATGGAAAATATTTGCCTTGACTTCATTTCTATGTGAGTGGTAAAGAAGCACAGCCAGGATTGTGAAAAGACTGGTTCTTCCAGGGGGCCTGACCCAGCTGCAGTGTTATGGAGTTGTAGCTCCATCTGCTGGAGAGAAGCATCTAATGCAAATGTGATCATAGTAAGCAAGGATTATCACCTAAATACTTAACTGTGTGTCCGGTAGCACCTTGTCAGGCCCCAAGGCATCCCAGTGAAAACGTAGACTTGTTTCTTGCTTCCACCATGCTTATCCCTGAGAAGTCTTCTGTTGTCAAGAAAAAGACTTTTAATTTAGCATGTGTGCTTTTGCATTTTGTGTTCTCTTCCTTTATTTTTTTCCTTGGGTAAGGGCTAGGGAAGGTCACTCAGTGGCTGGACACACGCTTAGAAGGCATGAGGCCCTGAGTTCAGATTGTTCATTCATGAAATTAAAAAAAAAAAAAAGAAAGAAATATAAGGTTGACATCTGTAGATCTGTAGCAACTGATTTTTCCTTGAGTGTTATCTCTATCTGGGCTTCCTTTTCTTCACATGTTATGTAAAAATGACAGTGCCTCTCCTACAGGCTTCAGTTGAGCTCATGTTATAAATGTTATTAAATGCCTTTATATGTGTGCTAGGGATAGGCACAAGGGACATCCTAATGACTAGGAATCTAATTCCTGTCCTGAAGGAGGTTAAAGAAAGAGATTTATAAAATGACCCTTGCAAAGTAAATGAGAAAATGCCACAAAAGTACTGAGGAGGGGTGCTGGTCAAGATGGGGAGTGGGACTGGGAAGGGATGAAAATGATTTTTTAAAAATCCTGATGTTCCACCAAGTACAAAATGTTAAAATTAGCAAGAGGAAGTTGGGGTAAGACCTTCCAGGTGGAGCATCCAGTGGAAGCAGCAGTGTTGAGCTGAGAGCCTGCATGGTGTTTGTGTCACTGCATAAAATGAGTGGCAGGAAGTGTCCAGAGATGAGGGTTTAGGGAAGTAGGTGGAGCCAGGTAATGTTGGGGTTTGTATGCTATCTTAATGAGGTTACACTATTTCTTCAATGCATTGAAGAATCTTTGAAGGGTTTAAATGGAAAATGATACCAGGTTGTTTGGAGAAGTCACTTTTTGGCTGAGTCTGTTGGATTTGATTGAAGGAGACCAGGCTGGAAATGGAGAATCCACTTTGGAGGCTCTGGCAGTAGACCAAGTGAGAAATTATGACCATGCTAAGGTGAACAATGAGAGTGAGGTAAGACAGAGGGACAAGTCAGCTAGAGAGCTATTTGGGCTAAAAATTAGTGGCAATGGTTGATGTGAAGATAACAAGTCAGGGGTGGCTAGGAGATTTCTAACTTGGGTGACGGGTATAATAAATGTTGCCATATTTGAGAGAGAGCATATTAAGAGGAAAAACTGGATTTGATCATGAGAAGGGAATGAGTGGTTTATTTTCGGCATCATGAGTTTGAGTTGCCGACAGAGTGTCTTTGTAGAGGCATTCAACAAACAACTTGAAATATAATTGTGAAGTTCAGGAAGTTTAGATTGTGTTACTAATATGGAGGAAGTAGTTGAGCCATGAGAAATGTGGAAGTCATTAGGGAGAATACATATGATGAGAGGAGCTGAGAGCCAAGGTCAGAATTTGGGGGTTAGTCATCTAAAGGCAGGCAAGAAAGAGAAAGGTACAAGTATGATGGCCTAGAACCAAGAGAGCATTGTTTAAAAATGTAACATGTAAGGACTGAAAGATGTCTTCTGGATTTGGCTTTTAGGAGATGACTGTGATCTTAATGAGAGATGTTTCCAGATTGTAGTGGGCTGAGGAGAAAATGAGGGGTAAGGCCTCTCTTAGAAAAGTCTGTCAGAAGAAAGGAGAGAGGCATGATAGTAGCTAGAGAACAACTCAGACTCATTTTAAGGTAGTAAAAACTGAAACCTGTTTACAAACTCCTGGTGGGAAAGAGCTCATAGAGGAGGGGAGTGGCTGTCTAGATATGGGCCTCACATGGGCCTTCTCTGGGGCTAAAGGGCCAGAGTAAGATTAAAGCATGTGAGTGGGCTGGAGTGGGGAGGTGGAAAGCGGTAATTGAAAAAGACCTTCCAAAAGATGTTTTCTTTATAAAGGAGGTAATGGAATAATATCATTTTCTAGTGATAAGAAGAAATGGATGAGGTTGATAATGGGGAAATCCTCAAGAATGGTAAAATAGTTCTTAAGGAGAATTTTATATGGCTTCAAGATGAAGATTGATAGGACTTAACCAAGAATAGAGAAGTTAACAACATTGTCCCTCTCTACAGCCTGGTCATCTGCTTAGCATAAGCCAGCTCAGGAGTTCATCTACTTAGTGGGATCCAGCTTAAGTAATGAACATAGAGGAAGGCCCAAAGGGAGAGAGGAAATGGGAGTGATGCAGGGACATGTGGTCTTCCCATTGGAAGAGCAGAAGTGGAAGTGAGATAAGTAGTAGGATTATGATAGTGGTTATTTGGAGAAAGAAGATGATGACCCAAGTGATGAAGTGTTCCGGGGTTGAAATTGAGAGACTTGGAGGCTGAGAGGTAATGGCTAGTTCGTTGTATTTGGGTAGCCTAAATGTCAAAAAACTTTACTTTTCTCTGCTCCCAAATATTTGCTGTCAGTACTGCTCATTCTTTCAGCCTCAGCTTAAATGTTTCCTTAAGCTTCTCCTAATCATCCTCCCTTAACAAGTATGCCCCTCTTTTCTATCACAACATTCTGCTTGTTTCTTTTACAGTGCATGGCGATCATCAAAGGACTGGAACACAAAAAGATATCAGCTACCTCCCTTCTTTGGGTTTCAACCTCAATAACATAAACCGTTTTCTTAGAATTCCATTATCTTGGGCAGAAGACTTCCGTTCTGGTTTTCCTCTCCCAAGAGAGATGGCAGTTGCTTTCTAGGGTTTATCTATGTGGTATAGGACTGTTCATGGTGGAGTTGAGGGTGGTCTGTCTCTTGCCCTGAAATAGCCTTTTCCCTTCAGCTTTCATTCCTACTCCCAAAATAAAGTAAATAAGTCAAAGCCAGAAAAACATTCTTCCTGGTATTTTACTGCTTTGAATATTGTGTAAGAAATCCAAATATTGAGTAATGAATAGAGTTTAGATTACAGTACGAAAGTGAAGCCTGTGACTGTGTTCCCCTAGAATCCTGGATGGAACCCTGAGTTCTAGAACTCACTGTGCTGTACTTAAGTCTTCTACTTCTCCGAGTACTAAACTCTTTCCTGTAAAATAGATGATAGACTGCCTCCAAGTACCTTTCAGTTCTATACTCTTCTGCTTATCACCAGCTGTAAATGCTACTAGCACCTAGTCTCTAGTGTTGGGTGACAAAGTGATGAGTTGTCCTGTTTTTAAAAGATTAACTTCAGGCACCAGTACATAGAAGCACTTACTATGCTAAAAATCATTGCTGTATAAAAAGGGAATTGGACTAAGGTACTTCATTTTATTCTCAATGAAGCAGTACAGGAAGCCTTCATTTATGAAAGAGGAAGTCTACATTAATGGCTCCCAAGTTCTTCCTTAATCTCAACCAAAGATCCCTTTATTCTCCAGTGGAAACTTGGCATTGAGGAGTCTTGGGGGAATTGACTCAGTTGGGTGTGTGGGGCCTCAGCACACTGACCATGATTTTCTTAGGTACTGTTTGCAGCTTCCCTGATCAGCTAGCAGAGCCTGGGATGCCTATTTCTAAGCTGCCCTGGGCCTTGCCACTGGGAAGATATAGTAAAGAAAAACCACTTGACACCAAAGTGTCAAAGCATCCAGAGGAGATGTAAAGAAGCTCTATTAATTCAAACATACAGTTGTTTTCAAGATCCAGAGGAGTAAAGACTGCTGTTTTCTGAAAGTTCACATCCTATACGGATTGCTTATTGACTATTTTTCTAAATAATTGCATATTACAAATGCAAGTTTTTGGATGAATGTCTTAACTTCACAAAGTACATAAAAGCACTCAACAGGATGTAAGTTATGACATTTAGGGGTGTTGTCTTATTGCTTCAGAACTGTGTGGGGTAATCATGTAACACGCCATGTCACATGATTTGACTGAATGCAGAGAAAAACCTCAACTTGGTTTCATTGGCTCAGACACAAAATTAAGGCAACAGACACAAAATTAAGTTGAGGAAGTACTATACAGTGTAGGAAATAGGAACTTTTAAAGATAATTCACTGTGATGTGAAACTGGCTGCCTAAGCCCAGATAACTGAGTTAAAATAAGAGAAGTACCAGTAGGGAGATCCCTAATTTTGAGAAGAGAAAAGGAGCATGAAGACACTGCAGATAAAGAGCTCAGTCTCCACTGACTTTGCAGAGGTGGGTCTGTATATGTAAAATGACTTAAGATGGAGGAGTAGAAAAGAACCTGATAGAGTAAACCAGCCATGTACAGGGTATTGTTGTATCTGGTATTTTCATTGTTTTTCCTTTTGACATATCTCAATTATTTAAAAGCAATTTTAGAATTTAGATATATATCTGAACTTTTTTTTATTAAAATATATAACTACTTAAAAGCAAATCTGAAAGATACTTATTTAAATCCTTGGATAAGTTATAGTAACCATTAGTTGTATTAATTAAAATCTCCTCCCTGCTTCAAAGGTTAATAATTGTGGTTTTTACTTCCTGTAGATATATATTTAATTATTGAATTTATGTATTGTTGGTTTCAAAGTAAAGCCAGGTGTGGAAGGGCAGCTATCCTTAATAATGCTTGGCATCGTGTACTCTGTTCCTGTGAAACCTTATGCTATAAAAGACGTCTGTAATGCTTTTTGTTATTGTATCACATTAAGTTTTTTTTTAAACACAAATTTAAAATTTTAATTTGTGTCTAGGATCTTTGGGAAGAAAATATACCATGTAACACTATGTGTAGTGAACTTTAGTCCTTGTCTTTTGTCCAACCAGAACTAAAATAAATAAACAAGTAAATAAATAAAAATTTAAAAAAGAGGATGATCACTTTAATTTGATGTTTTAATTAATAAAAAAGATACATATATTAGCTTATAGATAACAAGGCATTGTGCATGTCTGATAAAATGAATAAGAGATTCTAGAGGGGAACATACGGTTTTGATTTTTAAAAATGTATGTAACCCAGCATCTTGACATAAGTACTTTAAAATGTGGGAGATAACCAGAAAGAAAAATGACCTGTAATTCTCGGGGTGACATCATTTAATGATTTTTTAAATTGGGCTTTGAAGAATTTAAAAAATGATAGGATAGAGGGTTCCAGGAAGAATTGGTAACAGCTTGAGCCTGAGAAAGTTTATTGGTCAGTGTTACTATTTTGTTCACAATCCTCTATTGTCTTCCATCTTACTTAGATCCAGAGTCTTTATTCTGATCTGCACCTGTTCTATACCTTTTGGATGCCATGTCTTTCCCACTAGATTGTAAAATCCATAAAACAGGAATTTTCTCTCCCTTCCTCATCTTTGTATTCCTAATACATAGAGCAGTAAATGCTTAGTAAATAATGAATGCAAAATTCAAAAATTGTTTTATGTACTGGAATGTAAGATGTTTTTGAGGGGTGATAATGACAGAGAGTGAGACTGCACGTGGAGTATTGGTCTTGAAGCTTTTGAGCTTAAAGGCAGTGTTTATGCTTTTTTACATTGAAGTAATGTTACAGCATAAAGGATAGATTAGAAGGTTGGAAGAGTGGAGATGGCAATGCCATACGAAAGATTACGTTAGTGGTTTCTTCAATTAACTTTTGAATGTTTGCTTTATGCTAAGTACTGTGATAGATTCTGGGGATGCAAAGATGACTGAAAAATGGTTGCAGTTGGTGGGGCCAGTACATTCTGCAGCAGAGGTCTGAGCAAATAATGTGGTGGTGATCTGAGCCTGGGCATTTTTCAGAGGGTAGAAAAGAGTGAAGTTTCATTGACAATTTCTTTGGGTCAGCAGTTCAAAGAATTCCTGGAGAAAAAGTGAAGATTTTAAGGGAACTTTCACAAATGTTTTTAGACTTATTATTTTTAATGTAGTGTTCTTCTTGTGATTTTGAATTAGGTCTTTCCCAAAAGTTCTTAGTTCTGTGTTGATTGGTCCATTTATTCTTAGAACAAGGCACACATGAGAGAAGAGCTCTGTTTGACCTTTGAGTCAGCATGTAGCTTCTGGGGCTTAGTTTGTCAAAGTAAGAAGGAGATGTCAGTATTCCATAGAGTGATTGAATTAAACA